GTGTATATATATATATATATTAGTTGATGGGGTTCATAATTCAGTTTAGCTGGCCATTAAGTATAGCATGCACAGCTATAATAAGCATATGGATTACATTACCCAAATGGGGCCCTTGATGTAAAGAGCATGAATATGTTCAAGAGTAACTGATCTGTTTTCAAAATACAGGCAGGATTAAGAACTGAAGAAAAATAATTATTCTGGCATGATGCACTCAGCTTTTTCCTGTTTTTACTACTAATCTTGTTCTTTTTAAGTTTCAATTTTAATTCACTTTCTACAATGCTGTTAAATTCTTTTTTATTCCTTTGCTATTTCAATAGATGCATGTGGCTAAGCACAAAAGTAGTTCGGGGGTTAAAGTGTACCCCAAGTATTTAAGGTTGCTCTGCACCATTTGTGCATGTTTATGGTGTGCTTTATTTTGGCACTGCATTGGAAATCCATTGATGGAGGAGGAGAGGGAAACAATTTATTGTGAGACCCAGTCACCCACAGAAAACTGCAAAGAGAGCCAGGGTAGGTTGAGTATTTAGAGTGAAGTTAAAGTGTTTATTAGGCTCTACAGGCCCTTGTATGTCCACAAGATGTGATAGGGTAGAAGTTGTTTTAATTGGGTGGAAGGTTCTATGTGAGTTTAATCAATGACAAAGTACAACTGGAGCATTAGTCTTGGTCCCATGCTTCTGTCATGGTCATTACAATTTTTTTTTGTTAGACATTGTGCTGTTCCTGCCAGATTCTTCTAGGCAATCAAACTTGATGTGCTCTTGAAACCATAGTTATTGGTAACATTATTCACAATATTAAATATTTCCAGGTTGGTGGGTTTTTGGTTGTAGCTGTGTTGGTCTAAGGACATAGGCAGAAAAGACTGCACCCAAAAACCTGCCAAGAAATTTTTTCCAACTACTCAGTTGGCTGAGTACAGGGGTTGTCAACTAGGGCGTGCATACACCTGGGGGTACTTTAAAAGGTCCCAGGGGTTATGTGGGGGCGGGTGGGGACTGAGTGCCACCACCCTGTGCTACTGCCTCACAGGAGCAGGGCCTCTCCACTGCTTTC